CAATGGTAGAGTGCTTGCCTTACATTCATGAGTCCCTGGGTTCAATTTCTCAAAACCACATAAGCAGAAAAAGCTGGAAGTGGCGCTGTGGCTTAAGTGGTAGAGTGCTAGCCTTGAGCTGAAGAGCTGAAGGTCAGCACCCAGGCCCCATGACTGATTTGTCTGTGCTGGCTTGAAACCATGATCTTCTAGATCTCAGACTCCTGTAGAGTTGACATTACAGGCATGGGAACTCTTGTAGTACAGCAGCAGGAGTCGCACAGGGTGCTCTGTAGAGCTGGGGAGGTTCAGGTGGCAGGGGAAGCCTTGCAGAAGGAACGACCAGGCTGCCTTTGGGAGAAGGCTGAGAAGCTGTGCGCTGTGCAAGTGTGGAATTCAGATCCTGCCACCTGGGCGAGGTCCTGGGTGCTTGCTTGCCCTGGAAAGCTTGTTTTATTAGTGAGAAACCTGTGGTTTCCGCTACAGGGTTAATTCCTCAGTTCTGATTGGGCAGTGAGGAATCATGTGCTTCCAGCTTTTTGGTGGTTAGTTAGAGATAAGAGTCTCTTTCCTGCATGGACCAGCTTCGATACTCAGGAAAACCGAAGCATCCTCCTGCAGGAGACTGAAATTGGATTTCTATCTCTCACCCTTGTACAAACATCAACTCCAGCTGGATCAAGGGCTCAAAGTAAGATCTGAAACCTTGGGGCTGGGAAGGTAGCTCAGTGGTAGAGCGCTTGCCTTGCATGCATGAGGCCCTGGGTTCGATTCCTCAGCATCACATAAGCAAAAAGCCGGAAGTGGTGCTGTGGCTCAAGTGGTAGAGCACTAACCTTGAGCTGAAGAGCTGAGGGACAGTGCCCAGGCCCAGAGTTCAGGCCCCACGACCGGACCCAAAAAAAAAAAGATAGATATCCACACATCTGTTTATTCCACCATAGACAATAACAGATGGGTGGCTAAAGATGTGAGATATATAATGGAATATTTTATAGTCATAAAGAAGATTAAAATCAGTCATTTGCAGAAAGTAGATGTAATTTGTTTTGTTTTTTTTTTTTGGATCCAGTCGTGGGGCCTGAACTCTGGGCCTGGGCACTGTCCCTCAGCTCTTCAGCTCAAGGCTGAAGGCTAGTGCTCTACTAGAGCCACAGCGCCACTTCCGGCTTTTTTCTTTTTGCTTATGTGGTGCTGAGGAATTGAACCCAGGGCCTCATGCATGCAAGGCAAGTGCTCTACCACTGAGCCACCTTCCCAGCCCAGAAAGTAGATGTAATTGAAGGGCATCATATTGAGCAAGACAAGCTTTAAAAAAAATGTGTGTTTTCATGTATATGTGGAAACTTGACCTAAGTGACACCCATATTCATGGACATGGACATTCACACCTGTGGATAAAGTGGGAGAGGGAAGGAAAAAAGAAACATAGAAGGTGAATAATTTTGTAATACATTCCAAGTATATACGAAGGCAGTTTAAAGAAACAGCCAGGGGCTGTGGCTCATACCTGTAATCTGTTTACTTAGAAGGCTGAAATCGACTGCACCCAGGCCCAGAGTTCAAGGCCCACCACTGACAGGAAAAAAAAAAAAGAATATCAGAAGGCTGAGATCTGAGGATCACAGTTCAAAGCCAGCGCAGGCTGATTCCCAACCTTACCAGAACATGTTCTGTTTTTTTTTTTTTGTTTTGTTTTCTTCTACTTTTAGGTAAGAGAAACCGATGGTGGCTACTAAGCATTCTGCTCACGCTGGTTGTGGTGGCTGGTACTGTCTTATATGTCACAAAGGGTGGGCCTGCCAGAGGCAGCCAGGGCTCACATGTATAATTCCAGCTACTCGGGAAATGTGAGGATCATGGTTCGAAACCAGCCTGGGCAAGAAAGCCCATGAGACTCTTAGCTCCAATCAACCACCAAAAAGCCAGAAGTAAAGCTGTGAGTCAAGTGGTAGAACCCTAATCTCAAGCCAGAAAAACTCAAGGACAGAGCCCAGGGCCTTACCTCCAACATTTCTGCAGACTCTGGCTGCAGACAGCATCCTCTGCGCCCCCCAGGGCCCCTCTTGGCATCTGGCTCTTCGGGGACAGGGGTCCTGTCCTGTCCTCTAGCCAAGGGTCCCTTGTGAGCCCGGTGCAGGCTGGTCAGGGAGTCTGACTCGGATGGGCAGCGGACATACGGCCGCCAACTGGGGCTGAAGAAGGGGAGCGGGAGTGTGGCAGCCAGGCCCTTGAGCCAGATCCGCAGGAGCAGGACCACCAGACAGCCAGACCCAACAGACAGCAGGACCACCAGACAGCCGGGCCGACAGACAGCAGGACCACCACGTGGCTTAAGGATTTTACAATCCTAATCCTTATCGTATGAAAATGAATGATCTCCTGAGGATCGTGGTTCAAAGCCAGCCCGGGCAGGAAAGTCTGTGAGACTCATCTCCAGTAAACCACTAGAAAACCGGAAGTGGCACTGTGGCTCACGAGGTAGAGCGTGCGCCTTGAGCTGAAGAGCGCGGGGACAGCGCCCAAGCCCAGAGTTCAAGCCCCACAACCGACAAAAAAAATTTAAAAAATGATCTTATTGAGGCCATTCAGATGCTCCTGATAGACTCCTCACCAGACTTGAAATCAAGTCTGCAGGGCCTGCGATGTAGCTCAGGCATAGAGCAGGCTCCTGGCGTGTGCCCAGCCCTGGCTTCCATCCCCAGCACCAAAAAGATCCAGGGCCGTGCCAGTGCAGACACGGCTTCCCATCCTGTGTGACTTCCTGGCAGCAGGCACACGGTGCTCATCTGTCTTTCTCTTCAAATGATTCCAAGTTCCCTAGAAGTGCCGCAGCGGGCAGGCCCACGCACAACGCAGTCACATGACCCTAGTACAGTTTTGACACAGTGAGGTTGACACAGGGTCTTGCTCCGTGTTGGCTCATCCGTGTAGATTGTAGGTCCCCACCACTGGGCCCCCTGGCTGTCAGTCATCACCCCACAGGAAGCCCCAGATCTCTCCCACCCTCCAGCCTTCCCAGGTGGAGAATCACACACAGACTATGAGGCCTTTTGGGACGGGACCTCCCACTGTACGTCCTTCCATGCTGTCCTATGCAGCCTCCATCCGTGACTTGCTTGACCCAGGACGTTCCCCATCAACAGGCCACTTGCTCTGCTTCCACCCGTTTCCTCCAGGATGCTTGGTTGTTTGCAAGGTTTGGCTCCTGCTGCCTTACACAGACACACACACACACACAAGCAGTGGTTCAGTCTTTCCCTTCACCGCCATGGTGTGTTCAGACCACCCTGTATTGTATAAGGGAGGCAGAATCTTCCCTCTGCCCCTGGGGTCTCCTCCGGCCCCGAGCTTGCAGTAGACATTGGAGCCAACCAGAGGGGAGAAGCATAGACTTCAACTCAGGGCCTGGGTACTGTGCAAGAGTTCAAGTCCTGGAGTTCAAGCCCCAGCACTGGCACAAAAGAGGGGGTGGGGGAAGGCAGAGAGGGAGAGAAGAGAGAGGAAAAGAAGTAGAAGGAAGGTCAGTCTGCCTGTGCCTGCTCTTTGAAGTTCATTGGCTCAGAGTGGTCTGGACTCTGGGTTGTGGTTTGGAGTGCATGCTCCCTGCTGGCATAAACACCATGCTGTTAGTCCACGATGATCGATGTTTGCCCAGTTCTACTGACTGTAGAAGACACATTCCCCATTTTTAGTAAGATTATGACACTTAATTTATTGCATAGAAGGGAGAGACAAGATGGGGCAAGATTAGGCAGATAGGGCAAGGGAGGACCTGGTGAAGAGATTGGGGGGAGGGGGAGGAGAGAGCCAGCCCCTGCAGGGGACATTTCTGCTTCTTCCCAGATACTCTGACCTCAAGGTCCCTGAGGACCCTGGGGCAGACCGCACAGAGCCAGGTGCCCCTTCCCTTGCAGTGAGGGGCCCGCGACACAACCAGATGCCAGACAGCTGAGGCGCCCGAAAAGGGCAACACAAGAGGGAGCCCGGAGCCTCCCCGGCGCCCTGGTCTGTTGGCCTCCCTCACCTGGAAAGCAGGTGTGCAAGCCCCCTCCCTCCCCCTGCACGGCCAGGTGGCTCTCCCCATCTGGAGTTCTAGTTGGGAATTTGTACCAGCTCACCCATAGCCAAGAGGCTTGGCTCCGTGTTCCTGGCATCTCACTCTTCCTTTCTAATAGACCTTGCCTGAGCCCATGCCTATGAACTTGACATCCGGATGCAGGTGCCGGTGTGCCAAGCTCTTCACTTAAGGCCCTCGCCTTGGCTCACAGTGGCAGGGCTTGCCTGAGCACGCAGGCAGACAGGCGGAAAGGCAGGGGCTGCCCTGGGGGGGGACACCCTGCTCTGGGACGTCTGTGACGGGGTCTGACTTGAAGTGGCCGGACAGGCGACTATCTCGCTCTAACCACTCTGGGTGTGCCGCCGCTGCCACTGTGGCTCAGGGGCTCTGAGGCTGACCTGACCTTTGAACCCGTGGCCCCCACGTTTGGGCATCCCTTTTAGGAGTGCACACATGCGCCCTGCATTTGAGACCTGGTGCTTACTCTTGAGTGAGGATGCGTCCTGCCGCGGCTGTTTGTCCTCGGCCTAGAGCACGCCGGGCTGAGGACACTGTCCCCGGTGACTGCGTCTCGGGGACACGTGTCCTCTTTCTGATGTTCTCTAGGACCTTAGAGCCCACGGAGTGTCCGGGGCCAGCAGCAAGGCCAGGAGGACAGAGCTGCTCTCGCTCTCTTCCGTTCCTTGTGCCAACCCTGCAGCGCTGGAAGGAGTGCCAGGGTTAAAACAAAGAAGACAGGGCTGGGAAGGTGGCTCAGTGGTAGAGCGCTTGCCTTGCGTGCATGAGGCCCTGGGTTCGATTCCTCAGCACCACATAAGCAAAAAGAAAAAAGCCAGAAGTGGCGCTGTGGCTCAGGTGGTAGAGCGCTAGCCTTGAGCTGAAGAGCTGAAGGACAGCGCCCAGGCCCAGAGTGCAAAGAAGACAGTGCTTCTGAGCTGCTATGCGCTGGCCGCCCCCTTGTCTACCCTGCCTCACTTTCCCCACACGACTGGGGTCCCTCATTCAGTGGGGGAGGCGGAGGGTGACGCCGGGGCCCCCGGCTCGGGTCAGCTCGCCGGCGGCCGGTGGACACCTTCACCACGGCTCGTGACCTCTTTGCACCACGGTCACGGGGGCCCGGCAAACCGCAGACGGGGGCGTTTGGGTTGCAGGGCGCCCAGCCCAGCCCAGCCCAGCCCCCGCCCCCGCCCCGCCCCGCCCCAGCTCGGCGCCCGCCCCTGCCCCCGCCCGGCCGAGGAGACCCAGGGCGACACATTGCTGCTGCACTTGCTCCCGTGCGGCCGGCCATGCTCCTGCGTCTGGGGCTGCTTCTGCTTCTGTCCGTGCGGGTGAGCGCGGGGGCCCGGCCGGCGCGGGGCGCGGGGAGGAGGGCGGGTGAGCGCGGGGGCCCGGCCGGCGCGGGACGTGGGCGGGTGAGCGCGGGGCCCCGGCCGGCGCGGGACGTGGGCGGGTGAGCGCGGGGCCCCGGCCGGCGCGGGACGGGGGCGGGTGAGCGCGGGGCCCCGGCCGGCGCGGGGCGCAGGGAGGAGGGCGGGTGAGCGCGGGGGCCCGGCCGGCGCGGGGCGCGGGGAGGAGGGCGGGTGAGCGCGGGGGCCCGGCCGGCGCGGGGCGGGGGCGGGTGAGCGCGGGGGCCGGCCGGCGCGGGGAGGAGGGCGGGTGAGCGCGGGGGCCCGGCCGGCGCGGGGCGCGGGGAGGAGGGCGGGTGAGCGCGGGGGCCCGGCCGGCGCGGGGCGGGGGCGGGTGAGCGCGGGGGCCGGCCGGCGCGGGGAGGAGGGCGGGTGAGCGCGGGGGCCCGGCCGGCGCGGGGCGCGGGGAGGAGGGCGGGTGAGCGCGGGGGCCCGGCCGGCGCGGGGCGGGGGCGGGTGAGCGCGGGGGCCGGCCGGCGCGGGGAGGAGGGCGGGTGAGCGCGGGGTCCCGGGCGGCTCGGGGAGGAGGGCGGGTGAGCGCGGGGGCCCGGCCGGCGCGGGGCGGGGGCGGGTGAGCGCGGGGGCCCGGGCGGCTCGGGGAGGAGGGCGGGTGAGCGCGGGGGGGGGGGGGGGGCGGGTGAGCGCGGGGGCCCGGCCGGCGCGGGGCGGGAGCGGGTGAGCGCGGGGGGCGGGTGAGCGCGGGGGCCCGGCCGGCGCGGGGCGGGGGCGGGTGAGCGCGGGGGCCCGGCCGGCGCGGGGAGGAGGGCGGGTGAGCGCGGGGGCCCGGGCGGGTGCCGGGGGCGGGGGGCAGGTGAACCCGGGTCCCCGGCCGGCGCGGGGCGCGGGGCGGGGGCGGGTGAGCGGGGGGGGGGGGGGGGCCCGGCCGGCGCGGGACAGAGGAGGGGGATGCGGGCGCGCGGGGCGGAGCCGGACCGTTCGGGGCACTCGAGGTCCCCGCCCGCCCGCGCCGGCCGGCCCCCTCCCCCCGCCCCGCACCCCGCGTGCGGCCGCCTGCCGCGCGGTGTAAACTCCCCGCAGGAGTGGATCGCCAGGTAGACGTGCGCTGCCCCACTGGGGGACTTTCGGCCTTTGCGGGTCGCGGGGCCTGACTCCAGGCCCAGGCCCGGGCTCTGCCCCCCAGGCCCCCAGCCTCCAGGCCCCCAGCCCCCCAGCTTTCTAGCCCTCCAGCTCCAGCTCCCCAGTTCTCCAGCCCCAGCTCCCCAGTCCTCCAGCCCCCAGCCCTCCAACTCCAGTCCTCCAGCCCCCGCTCTCCAGACCCCCAGCTCCAGCCCCCCAGCTCTCCAGCCCTCCAGCTCCAGCTCCCCAGCTCTCCAGTCCCTAGCCCTCCAGCCCCCCCCCAGCTCTCCAACCCCCCAGGTTCCCAGCCCCCTAGCTCTCCAGCCCCCCAGCCCCCTGCTCCCCAGCCCCCAGCCCTCCAGCCCCCTGTTCCCCAGCTCTCCAGCCCTATAGCCCTCCAGACCCCCAGTCCAGCTCCCCAGCCCTCCAGCCCCCTGTTCCCCAGCCCCCCAGCCTTTTAGCCCTCCAGACCCCCAGTCCAGCCCCCCAGCCCTCCAGACCCCCAGCTCCAGCTCCCCAGCCCCCCAGCCCTCCAGCCCTCTAGTCCTCCAGAGCTCCAGCTCCCCAGCTCAAGGCCATTGCTCTTCCACAGGAGCCACAGCACTTTGAACCTCGACCCTCAGGGCTCAGCCTCCTGAGCAGCTGGAAGGCGGGCATGAGCACTGGGGCCCGCTGCCGCTGCCACTGCCACTTTTCTGTGGTTAATTGGGGATAACTCACAGACTCTCCTGCCCAAGTTAGCTTGCTTCCCTTGATTATCCCCCTTTTTTTTTTCTTCCAGTCCTGGGACTTGAACTCTGGGCCTGGACGCTGTCCCTGAGCTTCTGCTCAAGGCTAGCACTCTACTACTTGAGCCACGGCGCCATTTCCGTTTTTTTCTGTGGTGCTGAGGAATGGAACCCAGTGCTTCATCATGCAGTTGAGGCTAACATTTTACCACTGAGCCAGCTTCCCAGCCCATAATTTTTTTCTTTTTTTTTCGGGGGGGGGGGGTAGGTTATGGGGCTTGAACTCTGGGCCTGGGCGCTGTCCCTCAGCTCTTCAGCTCAAGGCGAGTGCTCTACCACTTGAGCCACAGTGCCACTTCCGGTTTTCTGAGTGGTCATTGGAGATAAGAGTCTCACAGATTTTCATGCCTGGGCTGGCTTTGAACCGTGATCCTCAGATCTCAGCCTCCTGAGTAGCTAGCATGCCAGGCATGAGCCACTGGCATCCAGCATGTTGTAGGAATTTTATCTCCATTTTATTATTTTGTTGATTAAAATATTTTTTCACAGTACAGGAGATAAGACAAGACTGTACATGCTAGCGAGCACTCAGACGCTTGGCTATACCTCTCTTAAAACCTTTCAAAGAGGGGCTGGGAAGGTGGCTCAGTGGTAGAGCGCTTGCCTTGCATGCCTGAGGCCCTGGGTTCCATTCCTCAGCACCACATAAGCAAAAAGAAAAAAGCCAGAAGTGGCGATGTGGCTCAAGTAGTAGAGCGCTAGCCTTGAGCTGAAGAGCTGAGGGACAGCGCCCAGGCCCAGAGTTCAAGCCCCATGACCGGACCCAAAACAAAAACAAAAACAACTCTTCAAAGAGCAAAATTAAAGCTGGTGTGATGATGACAGTCTATGGCTCATGCCTGTCATCCTAACTACTCAAGAGGCTGAGATCTGAGGCTCTTGCTTTGAAGCCAGCCAGGGCAGGAAAGTTTGTGAGACTTTATCTCCAATTAACCACCCAAAAGACAGAAGTGGGGCTATATGGCTCAAGTGGTAGAATGAAAAAGGTAAGGAAGAGTCACAGGCCTCAAGTTCAAGCCCCAGTATTAGCTTAAAACAGTAATGGCAGTCCCCCTTTCTGATTCTAGGTTGGGGCAACCAATATAATCCTGTGTGAACAAGATGAGTATCTATCTGATGATGGCCTCTGCTGTCGACTCTGCCCAGCAGGCAAGTCCAGGGGCACCGTACAGAGACCTGGGGCTTGGGGCAGGCCTTCCAACTGGAAAAGGAAACTGCAAACCTCAGCTAGAACAGAGCTGGAAGGGAGAAGGACAGGTTCTTCACTTTGAATTCTCCCTCCCCTCCCCTACTGTCCTGGCCCTGGACAGGAAGGGAAGGGGGTGTGTTTGTCAGAGGCGGGGCCAGTTAGGCCTTGTAGGAGCAGGATGAAAGCAGGGGAGAGGCCCCCCTGCCCCCTGGAGACCTGATCAAGTGTCATGGGGGGGTACATACCTAGACCACTCCTCCTCCCTCCACACCTCTGCACCGTGTTTACATATACACTCTGTGTGAACCCCCCCAACACACCTGTGCATAGGTCACACATCTGAGGGCATGCGTGTGCCTGTAGACAGACACAGGTGCACATGGACCACACCTTTTAGAAATGGTCTAGTCAGATCACCACCTAGTCTCCTGCACGCGTAGGGCATGTGTGGTCCTGTGTGGTCAGGTGTGGTCATGTATGGTTAGGTGTGATTAGGTGTGGTTAGGTGTGGTCAGGTGTAGTCAGGTGTGGTTAGGTGTGGTCAGGTGAGGTCCTGTGTGGTCCTGTGTGGTTAGGTGTGGTCAGGTGTGGTCCTGTGTGGTTAGGTGTGGTCAGGTGTGGTCAGGTGTGGTCCTGTGTGGTTAGGTGTGGTCAGGTGTGGTCCTGTGTGGTTAGGTGTGGTCAGGTGTGGTTAGGTGTGGTCCTGTGTGGTTAGGTGTGGTCGCGTGTGGTCAGGTGTGGTCATGTGTGGTTAGGTGTGGTCGCGTGTGGTCAGGTGTGGTCATGTGTGGTTAGGTGTGGTCAGGTGTGGTTAGGTGTGGTCATGTGTGGTTAGGTGTGGTCATGTGTGGTCAGGTGTGGTTAGGTGTGGTCAGGTGTGGTTAGGTGTAGTCATGTGTGGTTAGGTGTGGTCAGGTGTGGTCATGTATGGTTAGGTGTGATTAGGTGTGGTCAGGTGTGGTTATGTGTGGTCAGGTGAGGTCCTGTGTGGTCCTGTGTGGTTAGGTGTGGTCAGGTGTGGTCATGTGTGGTTAGGTGTGGTCAGGTGTGGTCATGTGTGGTCAGGTGTGGTCATGTGTGGTTAGGTGTGGTCACGTGTGGTCAGGTGTGGTCAGGTGTGGTCCTGTGTGGTTAGGTGTGGTCAGGTGTGGTTAGGTGTGGTCATGTGTGGTTAGGTGTGGTCGCGTGTGGTCAGGTGTGGTCATGTGTGGTTAGGTGTGGTCGCGTGTGGTCAGGTGTGGTCATGTGTGGTTAGGTGTGGTCAGGTGTGGTTAGGTGTGGTCATGTGTGGTTAGGTGTGGTCATGTGTGGTCAGGTGTGGTCAGGTGTGGTCAGGTGTGGTCAGGTGTGGTTAGGTGTGGTCAGGTGTGGTCATGTATGGTTAGGTGTGATTAGGTGTGGTCAGGTGTGGTTATGTGTGGTCAGGTGTAGTCAGGTGTGGTTAGGTGTGGTCAGGTGTGGTCAGGTGAGGTCCTGTGTGGTCCCGTGTGGGTAGGTGTGGTCAGGTGTGGTTAGGTGTGGTCATGTGTGGTTAGGTGTGGTCAGGTGTGGTTATGTGTGGTCAGGTGTGGTTAGGTGTGGTCATGTGTGGTCAGGTGTGGTTATGTGTGGTCAGGTGTGGTTATGTGTGGTCAGGTGTGGTCATGTGTGGTTAGGTGTGGTCGCGTGTGGTCAGGTGTGGTCCTGTGTGGTCAGGTGTGGTCCTGTGTGGTCAGGTGTGGTCAGGTGTGGGTAGGTGTGGTCAGGTGTGGTTAGGTGTGGTCCTGTGTGGTTAGGTGTGGTCCTGTGTGGTTAGGTGTGGTCAGGTGTGGTTAGGTGTGGTCATGTGTGGTTAGGTGTGGTTAGGTGTGGTCGCGTGTGGTCAGGTGTGGTCAGGTGTGGTTAGGTGTGGTCAGGTGTGGTCAGGTGTGGTCATGTGTGGTCAGGTGTGGTCATGTGTGGTTAGGTGTGGTCAGGTGTGGTCAGGTGTGGTCAGGTGTGGTCAGGTGTGGTCAGGTGTGGTTATGTGTGGTCAGGTGAGGTCCTGTGTGGTCCTGTATGGCCATGTGTGGTTAGGTGTGGTCATGTGTGGTTATGTGTGGTCAGGTGTGGTTATGTGTGGTCAGGTGTGGTCAGGTGTGGTTATGTGTGGTCAGGTGTGGTCAGGTGTGGTCAGGTGTGGTTATGTGTGGTCAGGTGTGGTCAGGTGTGGTCCTGTGTGGTCAGGTGTGGTCAGGTGTGGTTATGTGTGGTCAGGTGTGGTTATGTGTGGTCAGGTGTGGTTAGGTGTGGTCCTGTGTGGTCAGGTGTGGTTATGTGTGGTCAGGTGTGGTTAGGTGTGGTCAGGTGTGGTTAGGTGTGGTCAGGGTGGTCAGGTGTGGTCAGGTGTGGTCAGGGTGGTCAGGTGTGGTCAGGTGTGGTTAGGTGCACATATTCCTCTTCCTCCCCTCCTCTTGGTCTTCCTCCTTTTCCTCCCTTTCATCTTCCTCATCGTTTTTATTTTTTTTCAGCCCAGGGATCTTGGACTCAGGGCCTGGGCACTGTACCTGAGTTTGTTTGCCCAAGGCTAGCCCTCTACCACTTTGAGCCACAGCTCTACTTCTGGTTTTTCTGGTGGTTCATTGGAGATAAGAGTTTCGCAGACTTTCCTGACGAGGCTGAGTCTGGACCACGATTTCTCAGACGTCAGCCCTCCTGAGTAGCTAGGACTACAGGCATGGGTCCCAGTACCTGGCCTTCTCCTGCTGCTGCTCCTCCCACTCCTTCTTCCTGCTCCCCTCCTCCCCTTCCTCTTCCTTTTCTTTCTCTCCTTCTCCCACACCTCTACTTCCCTCCTCCCCTTCTTGCCTCTTTCTTCTCTCCTACCCTTCTTATCATCATCCCTTCCTTTTCCTGACTCCTCTCCTCTTACTCATCCTCCTCCTCTTTCTGCCTCCCTTTCCTTCTTTCATTTCTTCTTCTTAATTTCAATCTTACACTTGAACTCAGGGCCTGGGCACTTCCCTTAGCTTTTTCTTTTTTTTTTTTTGGTCGTGGGGCTTGAACTCTGGGCCTGGGCGCTGTCCCTCAGCTCTTCAGCTCAAGGCGAGCGCTCTACCACTTGAGCTACAGTGCCACTTCCAGTTTTCTGGTGGTTTATTGGAGATAAGAGTTTCATGGATTTTCCTGCTGGGGCTGGCTTTGAATCTTGATCCTCAGATCTCAGCCTCCTGAGTAGCTAGGATTACAGGAGTGAGCCACTGGCACCCAACTCCCTTAGCTCTTTTACCCAAGCCTGGCATTCTACCATTTAAACCACAGCCCTACTTCTGGCTTTTTGCTGATTAATTGGATATAAGAGTCTTATGGGCCGGGCACCAGTGACTCACACCTGTAATCTTAGCCAGGAGGCTGAGATCTGAGGATCTCAGTTCAAAGCCAGCCTGGGCAGAAACATCAGGAACGTCTGTGAGACTTATCTTCAGTTAACCACCAGAAAACCAGAAAGTGGCACTGTGACTCAAGTGGTAGAGCCCTAGCCTTGAGCTGAAGAGCTGAGGGACAGTGCCCAGGCCCAGAGTTCAAGCCCCATGACCAACCAAAAAAAAAAAAAAGTTTTATGGACTTTGCTGCCAGGGCTGGCTTCTGTCAACCTCCAACCTCAGCCTCCCGAGAAGCCAGGATTACAGGTGCCCAGCTTAGCTTTTGCTGAACCCTTGTGAGATGAGCCCTGGGACAGGTAGGAGCCTTGGCAGAAACTTCTAGACTTCTGGACCTTGGATGCTCCTCTGTGAAACTGTCACTGTGGTCAGGAGTGGGTGTGTGGAAGGCAGTGGTGGCCTCCTACGATCTTGGGCACACAGAGGTCAGGCTCAGACCCAGCTGCTCCCTGGCACCACTGCACAGTGCTCAGCATGGAGGCTGTGTGGAGCCCCAGCTCCTGGAGCCACTCAAGACTCAGGCTGGGTACATGTCTAGAAGGTTCCAGGGAGGCTGGAGACCCCGTGCAGAAGTCTGGCCACACGTGTGCTAGATAGGGACAGGGACAGCACAGCCAGCTGGCAGCATGTGCCCAGCCCAGGCCCAGGGCTCAGCATCACGCTCTCGTCTCCTAGGCTTCCGGGTCAGCCAGCCGTGCTCGGAGAACCATGGCATGGTGAAGTGTGTCTCTTGTGAGGCTGGGACCTTCATGAAGCATCCCAACGGCCGGAACTCCTGCCTCAAGTGCTCACAGTGCGGGGCTGGTGAGTGTTCGCAGCTCGGCTCGGCTCAGCAGCCATCTCTGCTGGCACCTGGGGGCCCGCTAGGGGAGGGCCAGGCTCTCCCTGTGGAAGGACTGTCCACAGGTAAAGGGGGAAACCTTGATTGGAGCCATCTCCTGCAACAAACTGGGGAGACCTCATTACAGTCAGCGAGCAGGAAGTATGGCAAAATGGAAAACAACACTGAAAGCAAGCTTCCTAGAAAATGAGCTAGAGCAGGGCTGAGGGGAGAAGAGGGAAGGGGAGGGGAGGAGAGGGAAGGGAGAATAGAAGAGGAAAGGGGAGAGGGGAAACCTACAAGTTATTAGCAATTGTCGTTTATGAGATTAGGAACCAGTTTTTGTTTTGTTTTATTTCTTGTTTTTGTTGGTTGTGGGGCTTGAACTCGGCCTGGGCGCCGGAGCCAAGACTTACTTACTTTACCGCAGACTTTCCTTTGGCCTGCAAAGACTGTTTTGGCTTTTGTTTTTTTTTTTTTTGGGTCCAGTTGTGGGGCCTGAACTCTGGGCCTGGGCGCTCTCCCTCAGCTCTTCAGCTCAAGGCTAGCGCTCTACCACTTGAGCCACAGCGCCACTTCTGGCTTTTTTTCTTTTTGCTTATGTGGTGCTGAGGAATGGAACCCAGGGCCTCAGGCATGCAAGGCAAGCGCTCTACCACTGAGCCACCTTCCCAGCCCTTGGCTTTTGTTTTTAAAACCATTTTACCTGTTGGATAAAAAGTCTATTACTGGTTAGTACCATGCTGGTGAGAGAGGTTAAGAATTGTATATGTTTAGAAGCTAGTCCTTCCTGTTTTCATGTTCATGACACTGTATTTGTTAAATTTGCCACCATTATATGATTAGCAGCTGCTGTGACTGACAGGTCAGGAAAGAGTCTGTGTGGATAAGACACCTTGTTTGTTTGTTTTTTTTGGGGGGGGGTCTGGTCGTGGGGCCTGAACTCTGGGGCTGGGTGCTGTCCCTCAGCTCTTCAGCTCAAGGCTAGCGCTCTACCACTTGAGCCACAGTGCCACTTCTGGCTTTTTTTCTTTTTGCTTATGTGGTGCTGAGGAATCGAACCCAGGGCCTCAGGCACGCAAGGCAAGCACTCTACCACTGAGCCACCTTCCCAGCCCAAGACACCATTATTTTATTTATTTGTTTGTTTTTGTCAGTCCTGGGGCTTGAACTCAGGGCCTGGGTGCTGTCCCTGAGTTTCTTACTCTCAAGGCTACCACTCTACCACTTGAGCCACAGTACCACTTAGGGATTTTGCAGAGTAGTTTATTGGAGTCTCACAGATTTTTCCTGCCTGGGCTGGCTTTAAACCACAATCCTCAGATCTCAGCCTCCTGAGTAGGTAGGATTTCAGGGGTGAGCCACCGGCACCAGCCTGATCCTCTTTATTTTTAACTTAAGCAACGAGGAGATCAATAGAAATAGTTCCCAAGGCTTACCTGGAACTTGTTAAGAATAAGCTAAATATGACAAGTAAGCTTTTTTTTTTTTTTTTTTTTTGTCAGATGTGGTTCTTGAACTCTGGGCCTGGGCGCTGTCCTTGAGCTCTTCAGGTCAAGGCGAGCGCTCTACCATTTGAGCTACGGCGCCACTTCCGGTTTTCTGGTGTTTTATTGGAGATGGGAGTCTCACGGTCTTTCCTGCCCGGGCTGGCTTTGAACCGCGATCCTCAGATCTCAGCCTCCTGAGTAGCTAGGATTACAGGCGTGAGCCACCAGCGCCTGGCTAGTAAGCCCCTTATAAGAGTCCTTTACCCCTCTGTGGGTCTGACTGTACACACTGGGGAGGATTAAGTCCACAATGACGAAGACTTAAGAGTAGTCAAGTTGAAAGTAATTTCAAAGTTATTTAGTTATTTCCTCCATACAGCATTGTAGTAAACTAATTAAGAGAGATAGAATTATTTTTTTTTCTATTATTATTATTTTTTTTTTTTTTTTTTTTTGGTCCAGTCATGGGGCCTGAACTCTGGGCCCGGGTGCTGTCCCTCAGCTCTTCAGCTCAAGGCTAACGCTCTACCACTTGAGCCACATTTCTGGCTTTTTTTCTTTTTGCTTATGTGGTGCTGAGGAATTGAACCCAGGGCCTCATGCATGCAAGGCAAACGGTCTACCACTGAGCCACCTTCCCAGCCCTCTATTTTTTTTATTGTTATTACAATTAGGAACCCATGGACAAGCTTGCTTGCTGTGGTATTAGTAAAGCTATCTGATGGATATATTGTCCTTCTCAGCTTTGTATCCAAAGTGGTTTACATACTTGGGGAGCAGAACTATTAGACAACAACAATTAGTATTTTAATTTTACATACTTAGTTAAAAGATAACCATTTGCCTCAAAAAAAAAAAAAGCAAGGAATATTAATTGCTCAATCATTGCTTTAGTTAGGTAAATAGGCACCCTCATATATATGTTAGAAAGAATGATCCTACTATTTCATAAATGACATTTTAAATTTGCTGGTCAAGGATTTTCTCCATGGGCTGAATTACAAGTATTAAGCAATACTGGACAGTGGATAGCAGAAACTTACTGAGTTCTGGGTGGTGGGGATATCTCCTCTGGTTAGAAGGGAACTGATTAGTGTGGCACTGTCAGAGACCTAATGCCCCTTTTCTTCCAGTTTCCATCCTACCTGATAACTATCTTTACTAAGTGTCCTGTCCTAACTTGATCCACAAAAGTTATCCACTCACTTTTCAAGGAGAATTTACTCATATGGTAATTTCCTAAATATATGGAGACATGTTTCCTTTTTTTCCTATAAGGTCCATTCTGCTACTTTGAATTTCCAGGTATGCCTAGTCATCTTTACAACGTTCAGGCTTTAGAAAAAAATGAAGAAGGTGATTTTCTTTGTGGAATGCTTTTGTCTTGATTGCTTGAATTGAAAGGACTTTTATGTGTTCATATTAAAAAAGTTCTCTTGCTTGTTTGTTGTTGAATATGCTGTAAATGAAGGCTTTTACAATTAAACTGACGTTTGTCCATATCTAAGAAAAAAAAAAGATAACCATTTGAAAAACCTTAAGAAAAACAGACACTTAAATGAATTTTGGCTTAGTTACTGTTTAGTTTTACAACAATGTATTAATTTTGACCTAGGAAAAAAATATTTAGATCAGTATTTAAGACAACTTTTATTCTCCAAATGCTTTCTTACTTAAATGGAACCATTTTGCGTTTCCTCTTTTTTATTTTTTGTCGGTAGTAGGGCTTGAACTCTGGGCTTGGGTGCTGTCCCTCAGCTCTTCAGCTCAAGGCTAGCGCTCTATCACTTGAGCCACAGCGCCACTTCCAGTTTTCTGGTGGTTTATTGGAGATAAGAGTCTTAATGACTTTCCTGCCCTGGCTGGCTTTGAACTGCGATCCTCAGATCTCAGCCTCCTAGCTAGGATTCAGGTGTGAGCCACCCGTGCCAGGCAATTTCCTCAAATTTTAAAAAGCCTTTTTAAAATTTTTTGGTCTTTATATTTCTTTAACTTTTTACTTACTGATTGTTTTTAAATTTGTATTTTGAAATAACTCATAAAACTTTTTAACTCAGTGGGGGCTGGGAAGGTAGCTCAGTGATAGATTGCTGGCCTCGCATGCATGAGGCCCTGGGTTTGATTCCTCAACACCATGTAAGAAAAAGCCAGAAGTGGCGCTGTGTCTCAAGTGGTAGAGCACTAGCTTGAGCTGAAGAGCTGAGTAACAGCGCCCAGGCCCAGGGTTCGGGCCCCAAAACCAACAACAAAGAAAAAAAACTTTTGAACTCAAATAACAGGTTTCTTTTCTTGGGGGGGGTCTGGTCGCAGGGCCTAAACTCTGGGCCTGGGTGCTGTCCCTCAGCTCTTCAGCTCAAGGCTAGCGCTCTACCAGTTGAGCCACAGTGCCACTTCCGGCTTTTTTCTTTTTGCTTATGTGGTGCTGAGGAATGGAACCCAGGGCCTCAGGCATGCAAGGCAAGCGCTCTACCACTGAGCCACCTTCCCAGACTGAAATAACAGGTTTTTATTTAAAGAAAATACTCTGTATCTATGAAGAAAAGTAATTTAAATTTTAAAATAAAGGGCTGGGAAGGTGGCTCAGTGGTAGAGCGCTTGCCTTGCATGCCTGAGGCCCTGGGTTCGATTCCTCAGCACCACATAAGCAAAAAGGAAAAAGCCAGAAGTGGCGCTGTGGCTCAAGTGGTAGAGCACTAGCCTTGAGCTGAAGAGCTGAGGGACAGCACCCAGGCCCAGAGTTCAGGTCTCACGACTGGACCAAAAAAAAAAAAAAAAAAAAAAAATTTAAAATAAATGTAATAACCCTCCAGTTTATTCTTTTAACTCTTTCCTCATATGACTGTTGGTAACAAGCAGTACAGATAATAGTTAAAATTGAAGTAAAAAAGCAAATACTTTCAGGAAATATCAGTACCAGGAAATACCAGTATGCAAGACAGAGGCACTTTTGTTTGACAGAAAAGACTGATATTGGGCTGGGAAGGTGGCTCAGTGGTAGAGTGCATGAGGCCCTGGGTTCGATTCCTCAGCACCATATAAACAGAAAAAGCCAGAAATGTCACTGTGGCTCAAATGGTAGAGCGCTAGCATTTAGCTGAAGATCTGAGGGACAGCGCCCAGAGTTCAAGCTCCATGACCAACAAAAAAAAAAAAAAAAGAAAGAAAGAAAAGAAAAGACTGATTTTTCTCACAAAGCCAGCCTGGCTACAAAAGTACATTAGACTCTTATCTCTAATAACTCAATTTTTAAAAAAAGCAAAAAAACAGAAGTGGCACTGTGGCTCAAGCTGTAGAGGACTAGCCTTGAGCAAAAGAGGCTCAGGGACAGCGCCCAGACCCTGAGTTCAAGCCCTACAAAAAACTTCTTATCTGCCAAACTTTAAAAAAAAATTTTTTTTTAATTGTGAAAATACTGTACAGAGGGGTTACAATTACGTGGGCAAGATCTGCCAAACTTTTGCTGTTTGTACTTTCCTTCCAGAAAAAAACAAATACACCCCCACCCGGAAACATGTTTATCCTTGAGATAGTGCTTTCTACTGGGGGGAGCAAATCTTTTGTTTGAGCCTTCCTCTATTTCCAGAACCCATTGTTTTCTCTGGCAGACCAAGCTAGATGCAGAAAGCTCTTCTTCCTCTTTTCTTCTTTGTACTTATATTGCAGCTTGTGAATAAGTATAAGGTAAGGCAAGTTTAATAGTGGTTCTTTCTCTCTCTCTCTCTCTCTCTCTCTCTCTTTCTTTCTTTGGTCCAGTCATGGGGCCTGAACTCTGGGCCTGGGCGCTGTCCCTCAGCTCTTCAGCTCAAGGCTAGTGCTCTACCACTTGAGCCACATTTCCAGCTTTTTTTTTTTTTGCTTATGTGGTGCTGAGGAATCGAACCAGGGCCTCATGCATGCAAGGCAAGTGCTCTACCACTGAACCACCTTCCCAACCCCTCTTTCTTTCCTTCTTTCTTTCTCTTTCTTTCCTTCCTTCCTTCCTTCCTTCCTTCCTTCCTTCCTTCCTTCCTTCCTTCCTTCCTTCCTTCCTTCCTTCTCTCTCTCTCTCTCTTTCTTTCTTTCTGTCCTTCCTTCTCTCTCTCTCTCTCTCTCTCTCTCTCTCTCTCTCTCTCTCTCTCTTTCTTTCTTTCTTTCTTCCTTTCTTTCTTGTGTCGGTCATTGGGCTTGAACTCTGGGCCTGGGCGCTGCTCCTCAGCTCTTCAGCTCAAGGTGAGCACCCTTGAGCCACAGAGCCACTTCAGGTATTCTGAGTGGTTTATTGGAGATAAGAGTCTCCCGGACTTTCCTGCCTGGGCTGGCTTTGAACTGTGATCCTCAGATCTCAGCCTTCTGAGTACTAGGATTACAGGTGTGAGCCCACCGGTGCCCATTGTAGTAGTTCTTATTTCTGAGTGCACTATTTATTTCTGAATTCCTGGCTGCTCTTTGCTGTGCTTCATTTTCTCTAATCTATCCTGCTTCAATGTCACCCTTCCTGGCCAAGGTATGATTTGGAATTAAAGCTTTAAGGAGGAAGTCTCATCGCGAGAGGACAGAGGAGCAACACCAAGCTGGTACCACATGGCTGCCATGCCACACCCGGACAGCCCGGGCAGTTTTGGGGAACAGACATGCCAGGTTATGTTACTTTAAAAAATTTTTTTTTGTTTTTGTCAATCCTAGGGCTTGAACTCAGGGCCTGGGCGCTGTCCCTGAGCTGCTTTTGCTGAAGGCTGGCACTCTACCACTTGAGCCACAGCACACTTGTGGCTTTTTCTGTGTATGTGGTACTGAGGAATCGAACCCAGGGCTTCATGTATGCTAGGCCAGCACTCTACCACTGAGCCACCTTCCCAGCCCCTTACACTACCTTTAGTTGTCTTCTGCCCCACGAGGTATACCAAGACGATGTGCAGTGGGATGAACTCTTGGCTCTGCAGTGTAAGACGGAAGACCACCAGCACCAGCCGGTCCCGCTGCAGGGGCGCAGAGTTCATTTACCATAGAGGAAGGGCATCAAGGAGAATGAGCAGCACTGGCCAGGAAGCCTGAGGTTCATGGTTAGGGACAGGATGTTTTGTACCGGACAGTTACATACACCCTTTCCTTTTTCCTTTTTCCTTCAGGCAGTTTCTCAGATCATGATTGGTTTGTTTGAAACAAAGAGGACCAGGGCAGTGGCCCCCGTGGGGGAAGGGGCTGAGCTGTCCTGGGTCAGGTGGCTGCTTTCCCTCAGTAATTAGTTGGACATAATCTCACGGCATTGCTGCCCAGGCCGACTCCAAACTGTGATGCTCTGATCCCAGCCTTTTGAGTAGCTAGGATTATAGGCATGAGCCACCAGACATAGATGACTACAGTTTTTGTTTTGTTTTTTGCCAGTCCTGGGGCTTGAACTCGGGGCCTGGGCGCTGTCCCTGAGCTGCTTTCACTCAAGGCTGGAGCCACAGCGCCACTTCCAGCTTTTTCTGTGTATGTGGTACTGAGGAATTGAATCCAGGGCTTCATGCATGCTAGGCCAGCACTCTACCACTGAGCCACCTTCCCAGCCTGAAAACAAAATTTTAAATGTAATTTAAAAAGTTTTTTTATTTTTCCCATTTGTCAAAAGCTCAGCTACGTTGGGCTGAGGGTAGCAAAGGAAGTAGAGGAGCTCTGCACTGGCTAAAGTCTTCAGCCGGGTGACTCGGTGTCTCCCAGAGGCCGGCACTCCCCTGGGAGAGCCTCAGGCTCAGCCAACTCCTCCGGAAAGTCCCAGCGGCATCTCCTTGATTTAGCTGAGGCATAGAACCAGATGGCATGCTTCCATTCCCTGGCGTAGAGGCAGAATCAGTGGGGAATCCGCTCCGGGCTGAGATGGCTGGACCAGTGGACAGCAGAGGCCGCCAGAGAGGTGACTCTTCAATCTGTGAACACTGTGGCCTCAAATCCCAAATAGTGGGTAGTTAACTGTGTACTCTGGAAACTTCCGGCTTAGAGCATGACCTCTGCTGATTCTACCCATCCCTACCTTCAAGGTTGGTCCCTTGAAGTCCAAAGATGAAAAAGAATAAGAAGGAACCAAGAGTCTGATGTTAAGGCAGCAAAGAAATTACAGAAGTTATAAAATTCACAAGCCACGAGGATGTATGCGATGCAAGGCATGTGCATTACAAAAATCGGCTGGGTGGCAGTGGCCGTCCCCTGTAATCCTAGCTACTGAAGAGGCTGAGGTCCCAAGGATCATGGTTTGAGATCGATCTGGGAAAGAAAAGTCCATGAGACTTTGCTTTTAGCAAGAGCAAAGATGGAGGCATGACTCAAGTAGCAGAATGCCAGCCAAGCAAGCAAGCTGAGCAAGCACAAGGCTATGAGTTTAAATCTTAAAATGGTTAAAAGAATTACAAGCTTCTGTTTATCCAGAAGAGGACACTGAAACTTGTAATAGTCTCTTGCAAAGTAGAAAATATTTATGATATGTACAATTCATATACTGTCGGTGTCCAGAACTCATAAGGGATCTCTGCCTGTCAGTAAGAAAAGGCTAAGGGGCTGGGATGTGGCTCTGGACAGAGCCCTTGCCTAATGTGTGTGAGGCCCTGGGTTCCATCCACCGCACTGCAAAAAGAGAAACGAAAAGATGGGTGCTGGTGGCTCATGTCTGTAATCCTAGCTACTCAGAAGGCTGAGATTTGAGGATCCCAGTTCAAAGCCGGCCCAGGTAGGAAGTTCATGAGACTCTTACCTCCAATAAACCACCAGAAAACTGGAAGTGGCACTGTGATTCAAGAGGTAGAGCGCTAGCCTTGAGCTGAAGAGCTTAGGGACAGTGCCAAGGCCCAGAGTTCAAGCCCCATGACAAAAAAAAAAGAAAAAGAAAGAAACAGAAACAAATAAGCTGGGTGCTGGTGGCCTATGCCTGTAAACCTAGCTACTCAGGAGGCTGAGATCTGAGGATCATAGTTTGAAGCCAGCCTAGGCAGAAAAGTCCATTAGACTCATCCTTCCAGTTAACCACCAAGAAACAGGAAGTAGAGCTGTGGCTCAAGTAGTAGAGCACCAACCTTGCCTTATAAAAGCTAAGGGATAGCACCGAGACCCTGAGTTCAAGCCCCAGGACCAGCACACACCCACACCTACCACATTAGTGGTGGTGTTTTCTTGTGAGAAAAATGATTAAAAAAAAAAAAAAAAAGCCTTGGGGATATTTCCTCTTCCTCGCCCCGTCCAAATTTCCCTGCAGACACCCCAGATCACAGGGAAGGGGTTCTGATGGTTCCCTTTTCTTGACCCTTGTGCTCACAGACCAGGTGAGGGGTGATTTGGTGCCAGGAGGAAGAGCCAGTGAAGCCCGGGGCAGTGCTGCAGCCTGGGGGCTGGCGCTCAGCCTTCGGCTTTCTCTCATTAACAGACCAGGAGACGGTAGCTGCATGCAACCAGACGGCCGACCAGCAGTGCCAGTGCAGGAGCGGGTACTTCTGCCCCCAGGATGAGCACTGTCCAGAGCACTGTTTCCGGTGTAGCAGGTGCCAGCCGGGGCTGGGGGGGAGGAGGGGTGGTTCTCCCCTTACTGTTTGCTTGGCAATAGCCTTGGTTTCCCTGTGTATAAAATGGGGTTAGGAAGTGGTGCTGTGGCTCAAGCGGTAGAGCGCTCACCTTGAGCTGAAGAGCTCAGGGACAGTGAACAGCCCAGAGTTCAAGCCCCACGACTGACCAAAAAAAAAAAAAAAACCCAAAAAACTAATGTGGGTAGCAGCTGCCCCATCGACACACTATCAAACACATTGCCTGGATGCCTCCTCCTGGCCGTCTGCCTGGAACCAGTGCTCCTCCATTCACTTATTCAACAAATAATTCACAAGTCTCTCTGTGGCCTGCAGGTGGCACTGTAGACTTGAGTGCCCGTGGTGTGGCGCCCACAGGCCGTGCAAGACCTGCAGACCTGCTAGCAGCAAGACTGTGGCCATGCTAACTTCTGCAGACTCAGCTGTCGGTCTGACCATATGGGGGGGGGGGGGAGCTGACACAGACTATGGGAAGTAGAAGGGCTTGGTTCACACCGGTGGGCTACAGAGGGAGAACTCCCAAAGACTCTGAGCCCCGTCAGAGTTGAGGTCGGGCTCATACACCCAAGGTGGGGGATGTTACGAGTGGGTGATGCAGAAAATACAGAGAAACTCCATTTTTTTAGGAGACCTAAAGGGGAACTTTGGGGGTCCCTTGGGAAAAGGAACTTTACAAAAGATGCCCTTCCCCTCAAGGGAGAGTACCAGACAGAGGTGCAAAATGGCTGACTATGCACATTTAATTTACAATTTATTACAAAAGAGGTGTGGGGCTGGGACGGTGGCTCATATTTGTCATCCTAGCTACTTAGGAGATCTGAGGATCGCGGTTCAAAGCCAGCCCAGGCAGGAAAGTCCATGAGACTCTTATCTCCGATTAACCACCAGAAAACCAGAAGTGGCGCTGTGGCTCAAAGTGGTAGAGCATTAGCCTTGAGCAAAAGAAGTCCAGGGACAGTGCCCAGGCCCTGAGTTCAAGCCCCGGGACTGGCAAAAAACAAACAAAACAACAAAAAAAACCCTCAAAAACATAAACCCCACACTATTTCCAGTTAAGGTGAAATTCTGAGGTTTCAGAGGCTTGAATTGGGGAAGCTTCCTTCCTCCCTTCCTTCCTTCACCCATTCCTTTCTGTCTCTATCTGTCTCTCTCTGTCTGCCTGCCTATCTGTATGTCTTTGTGTCTGTCTGTCTGTCTCTTTTGAATGTTTCTATGGGATGTACCCATACCGGGGCTTGAACTCGGGGCTTCATGCTCTCCCTTGAGCTTCTTTTGCTCCTGGCTGGCTCTCTGGGACTGGCGCCACACCCCCAGCTCCACGGGGGAACATTTATAGTGAGAAAGTGACTTGTAGCTTGCATTTGTGAGACATGTCCCAAACTCATGATCACAACTCAGAACCTGACATGTTGGAGGGAAGGCCTGCAGGCAAGTCCACCTTTGTCCCCTGGACACACGCCTCTCCTCAGCTCCGGCGACCGGCTTCCTGTGAGGGCTGAGCTTGGGCTGATCTCCCCATTGGTGGAGGGGTAGCAGGCCATCTTCCTAGCAGATACTCTCTAGCCAGGAGGGAAGAGAGACCGGCTTCTCCTCTAAATATCACAGGTGACTCCCAGGCTTCGCTGGTATTAGGCCAGAAAGGGGAAGGGGGGGGGAAGAAGGGGAGTCCTGGGCAAGGCCGGCCCCTCCCATCCCTGCCCCTTGGGATGGTGGTGGGGATGCTTGCTGCCGGGCCGGGGAGAAATAATGCTCAGGTGTTCTCGCAGTTGCCCTCATGGTATTCTTCGACCGTGCAATGCCACAGAGGACTCGGTGTGTGCGTCAACCCCTCCGCAGCCTGGCTCTCACTACACTCTGGGTGAGTTCCGCTTAAGTGTCTGTCACTGCTCAGCACTGCCGCTGTGAGCAAAACATAAGAACGTGCGAGGTCACGTGCCAGGGAACTGTCATAAAAACAGGAGAGATGGTTGGACTTGGTCGGTGGCAGGACTTCTGAGATCTCCGTCTCATAGTAAACAAATGCTGGGCTCCAGCTTCGCTTCCTGCTCTGGGAGCTGTGGATTTGGACTTGGTGTATGTGGCAGCCTGAGTCTCCTTTGTGGTATGTCTGAACTCTCAGGGCTCAAGTGTTCTGTCACACTACTGTCTGGCACTGCTCATTTCAAATCAGCTTCTGCCAAAAAAAAAAAATTGATTTAGCCGGGCGCCGGTGGCTCACGCCTGTCATCCTAGCTACTCAGGAGGCTGAGATCTGAGGATCGTGGTTCAAAGCCAGCTGGGGCAGGAAAGACTGTAAGACTCCTATCTCCAATAAACTACTAGAAAACCGGAAGTTGCGCTGTAGCTCAAGTGGTAGAGCGCTCGCCTTGAGCTGAAGAGCTGAGGGACAGCGCCCAGGCCCAGAGTTCAAGCCCCACAACCACCAAAAAAAAAAAAATTTGATTTAGTTTGACACCATGTAGCTCATGCTTGAAATTCCAGCTACTCAGGGAGCTGAGAATTGAGTATGGTTTGAAGCCATCCCAGGCAGACAAATCTGTGAGACTTTTTTTTTTTTTTTTGGTTGGTCGTGGGGCCTGAACTCTGGGCCTGGGTGCTGTCCCTCAGCTCTTCAGCTCAAGGCTAGCACTCTACCACTTGAGCCACAGCACCACTTCCAGCTTTTTTCTTTTTGGTTATCTGGTGCTGAGGAATGGAACCCAGGGCCTCAGGCATGCAAGGCATGCGCTCTACCACTGAGCCACCTTCCCACAAGCTAACATTTGAGTACCAAAGTAAAAAAAAAAATGGAAGTGTCTCACCTGAGAATAAAGCCCGGCTGCTGAGGGACGGCGTGTAGGGCAGATGTGTTCCTCCGGCCTGTCACTGTGAGGCTGCTGTCACCGTGTGTCCCCGCGCTGTGTTCATGCTGTGATTTCACAAGGGGGAAAGCCAGGACTCCTGCATGGGAGACACCTGTCCCGAGAGGCCATGGCGGCCTGGCTCGGCCCCGGGAAGGACCTGTGCATCCTCTCGACCGCCCAGTCCCCCGCCTTTCTTGGCTGGCCCACAGTAGACTTTATAGCTGGAACACGGCAGCAGAGCCCCCTGCTACTGTTCTGGAGAGGCCCTGGGCAGCATCCCATGACCTCTGAACTTTAAGGTGGTGACAGGGAGCAGGGACTTCCTGTGACATGCCACTCTGGTAGGGACAGCCATGCTCAATTCATGTGTATGTGTACTCGGGGGGGTGTGTGCACGCGCGCGTGCATGTATGTATGTGCGTGCATGCCTGTGCGAGAGTACTGGGCTTGAACGCAGGACCAGGGTGCTGTCTGTAGAGTTTTCACTCAGGGCATGAGACCACCAGTGCCCGGCTCAATGCAGCCTTAACACTGTTCTGCTTCTTTCTAGGACTCCCAACTTGGGCCATGGTGGTTACCTCCATCATCTGCGTCTTCTTCCTTGCTTGTTACCTTGTTAAGAGATTCAGGTATGACCCTTCATGTGGACTGGTGCTGCACCAGAAGAAGTAAGAGCTCGATGGGCCTGCTTGTGGGTCAGAAACGGGCCCGTTTTACTGGGCTTACTGTTTGCCTCCCGTGGAACTCCTGTGCCTCGGTCCGTAGTCCTGGGTCAGCTACTGCCTGACGGGGCCTGGCGGCCGCAGGGCCTCATCGGCGGACCACAGGGACAGTGCGCAGTGCACAGCAGGCCCCAGTGGGAAGAGGGGGTCTGGCTGAGGTGCTCCTGTGCTTCCCAGAGGTTGGGCATGTGACAACAAGGTCTGGAAATACCAGGGTGTTTGTATGTCACACGACTCACACTGTGCAGCCTCTTTTGCTGTGAGTTCAAGGCCCTCCCTCTTCCTCAGAGAGGTTACCGCGTAGTCTCATTTCGTGTTGTTTCTGATTTCAGAAGCAGCAGCGAGGCTGATTATCCAGTAAGTACTACGCTGGCATTGGGTGGACCCTCCCTGGGGCAGCTGGAGGTGCTGAGTGCTCAGGCCTCGGGGCAGTAGCGATGCAGGGGTCTGGGAAGGGGGTGAGGGACTACACGGGCCCTCAAGCATGCACCCTGACTTTACGATACTTTATTGGAGCTGTGGAGTCAATACTGGAAAAGACTGGTAGTTTGGTGGTCTAGAACACTGAGTACAGCCAGCCGCCGGTGGCCCACACCTGTCATCCTAGCTACTCAGGAGGCTGAGATCTGAGGATCATGGTTCAAAGCCAGCTCGGGCAGGAAAGTCTGTGAGATTCTTATCTCCAGTGAACCACCAGAAAACAGGAACTGGTGCTGTGGCTAGTCTTGAGCTGAAGAGCTGAGGTACAGCACCCAGGCCCAGAGTTCAAGCCCTGTGACTAACAAAAACAAAAAACGAAGTGGAAACTGAGGCACAAGGGATCAAAGGGCTTTATAAGATGGTCCTGGTAAGACACTGTAAGAGAGAACCACGGACAGAGAGTTTAAACACCAGAAATGGGCATCCCCAGACCCTGTACCCGACATGGGCTACAGCGTGAGGCTCTTGGTGGCCCAGCTCCCATTGCTCTGTGATTTTCTGACATTAGGAACCACATGGAGGACCCTGGGGAGCCTGGAGGACTGACGTGGAGCCAGCGTCCTGAAGACTGTAACCATGCCTTTATTGTGGAAGAGTTGGCTTAGTGGGATTCTTGGCAAAAGAAGCTCCACAGAGGCCAACAGTCCTCTACTCTGGAGGCCGAGATCTGAGGATCCTGGCTCAAAGTCAGCCTGAGCATGGGACTTCTTTTTTTCTTTTGTCATGGGGCTTGAACTCCAGGCCTGAGTGCTGTCGCTGAGCTCTTCTGCTCAAGGCTAGCACACTACCACTTTGAGTCACATCTCATGCCAAAACCCAGGAGGGGACAGCGTCAGAGTCACTGGATCCCCTCCGCTTCTCTGTCCGAGGGGCCATCCGCGTCTTGGCCCCGCTCCCAAACTGTCAAAGGAACCTCATGTCGGATGTCTGGCCTTTACCATTGCTGGCTGTGCATTCATTACCCCTCTCCTGTCTCTTGTCTATGTCTGTTGAGTGACTCCTCCCCACAAGGCCCCTCTGTCTGTCTGTCTGTCTTCTCTCTCTCTCTCTCTCTCTCTCTCTCTTTCAATGTGGCACCACACCAGAGGGATCCCCTGTGCCTTTTGGCCAATCTCTTCCTGTTTCAGAGATGCCTGAATTGAGAATTTCACTCTCAACCAGAAAGACTTCCGTGGCCTTCTACCTGTTGCTTCCTTCTCCGAGCAGACTCCCTCTGGGTCCTCCAGACTCCTCTCAGGACTCCACAAAGCCAAAATGCCGTCCTTTTATTTCAGCAATTTCTGTCAATGCAGTGGCAAACAGTCAGATACATGCACTCTTTCTTTACTCTCCTTGCTCATCCTTGTTCTCTCTAAGCAAACTCTCTCTGTCCACCTTCACCCCGGTGCTGGCCAGGCCTGTGTGGCTGAAACAGGCATAAGCCTCCCAGGCATCTCCTCTTGAAAGGTAACTTTCCTTGTCTTGTAGCAGTTCAGTCTCTTTTTCTCTCTCCTTTCCCTCCCTCCATTTGAGAGCACCCACACTCAGAGTGTACCTCTTTCCTTTCTGTTTTCTGTCTGCTTTTTCTCTGCTTGCTTACTTAATAAAGTTGTACCAAGTTTTTCTACCATCGTGACTTGACCAGAGATTCGCCATATTGGTCATGTGGTAGGTTTTCATGCAACCCCCATTCTTTTTTTTTTTGGTCTGTCATGGGGTTTGAACTCTGGGCCTGGGTACTGGCTCTGAGCTCTTCAGCTCAAGTCTAGTACTCTACCACTTGAGCCACAGTGCCACTTCCAGTTTTTCTGGTGGTTTATTGGAGATAAGAGTCTTATAGACTTTCCTGCTGGCTTTGAACTGCAATCCTCAGATCTTAGCCTCCTGAGTAGCTAAGATTACAGGCATGAGCCACCGACTCCCGGCTCCCCCCCCACCCCCCCGGTTATGAGGCTTGAACTCAGGGCCTGGGTGCTATCTATGAGATTTTCTGCTCAAGGCTAACATTCTACCACATGAGCCACAACACCACTTTGTTTTTTCAAGGTATGTGGTACTGAGGAATTGAACCCAGGGCTTCATGCACGCTAGGCAAGCACTCTACCACTTAAGCCACAGCACCACTTCTGGCTTTTTCTGTTTATGTGGTACTGAAGAGTGGAACCCAGGGCTTCATGCATGCATGCTACCCAGACAGTCTACCACTAAGCCACATTCCCAGCCCCAACCCCTATTCTTCCACCAAGCTTACCAAAATTGTTTTAAAAGTTTTCTGTTCTGGTTAATCAGTGTTTGTTTAAGTGTGAAGATTCTGTTACATTCTGTCTGTTGGCAAAAATTTTGTGATGTTTTTGCTTGTATTTTGTTTTGTGTTACCTGTTTCTTTAGCATTGACCATGTGGTTTTATAATGCTATGAGCAAAAACATCTTTTGCCACTGGAATTTCAGAAAACTTACAGTTGACTCCCATTTTTTTTTTTTTTGCCAGTCCTAGGGCTTGAACTCAGGGCCTGGGCACTGTCCCTGAGCTTCATTTGCTCAAGGCTAGCACTCTACCACTTGAGCCACAGTGCCACTTCTGGCTTTTTCTGTTTATGTGGTACTGAAGAATCAAACCCAAGGCTTCATGTATGTTAGGCCAGCACTCTGCCACTAGGCCACATTTCCAGCTTGACTTTCACTTTTAAAACCTAAGTGTGCCTTAAAACTTTGGTGCCCCATCTGAGGAAAGCTAGGAGGAGGACACAGAACCAGAGGAAAACAGGTGGAAAAATACAACAGAGGGGCCCGTCAACTGCACTGGACATGGATGAAAATGACCTATGCAACTCAAGGGCAGCGATGGGAGGGAGGGAAGGAGAGGGAAAGAGTGAACAGCTGACAATAAGCAAAAGGAGAGAAATATGTACATAGCTCCCGATGGGGAAGAAACAGTTTTATTGTTAAAGATCATGGCGTTCATAAGCTTTGGAGATTAAGATAATGATGAGTATCATTGTAAAGGTTAAAAGGTGCTTGTGACCTTAGCTAAGTATATCACAGTACTGTGAAATTTATGTAATCAATCTCAATAAAGAAATATTTGAGGAAAAAAAGTGTGTGAACATGTTACCTCACTTTAATACATAAAAACCATCGTGGGTGAGAAAAGCTCCTTTCTACTCAGGTGCTTCTGTCATATATTAATTTTTTTTAGATACTGATATATCCTGAAATTATTTGGTTTTTGGCTTCAATTTAACTACTTAACTGGCCACACAAGCCAAAGGGGGGAAAGGGGCAGTTTTAAACTCAAACCACAAAGAAGCTCAACAGATTTGGGTATAAGCAAATGTGTTTAAGAGCTATGATTAGGAAATACAAAGAAAGAGAAAGGAATTGAAGAAACAAAAATGGTTTCTTTGGATAAGAAAATATTCTAGAAGAATTACATTAAATGTTTGTTCTAAAGTGAAGAAAGGAAGAAATTAAGACTGCTGAAAGTTCATGTAAGTAGCGGGTGGTAGGAGCATGTCATTTAAGTGTTTATGACATGGTCCTTCAGATGAACACCTTTTAACTAGATATGTCTGTTTCCAAAGTAGTATGTGAGCCACCTTGGATACAGAGCTGGCAATGGTTTCACTCTTAATTAGTATCTAAAGTGCTATATTTAGTTAAAAACTAACTGCATTGTTTAATCAGTTGCTATTTCAAAATTCTCATCATGACCACTATTGAGTTTTGCCTTTACAGAGTTGATCCTCTGCAGCATTTACATTCAGACCCACAGAGGGAGAAGGAACTCTTATAAGTATTTATTGATCATACTTTTATGCTTAATAAGTTCCAGGTAAGCCCTGATTAAAAACTCATTTCTCTTGATCTCCTTGTTGCTTCAATTGGAAGTAAAAAGGGTCTCTTGCATCTACTCTCACTTGATCTGTCCAGCACACCCCTCCCCAATATGGGATAGGCCATCAGTCCACTGGGACAGGCCATCCCAGCAACAAGCAAAAACACAACATGTGACATCATCCCAGCAAGAAGAAGAGACCTAGACCCACGGAGACAGAGCTAGTTCTGGCAACAAGGATCCACCCAGAGGCAGCTGGAAAAAACTGCACAGGTAAAAAGGGATGGTGTCAGAGCCTAAATGGAGTCACTTTGTGCTTGCCATTTCAAAATTAACCAGAGCTAGGAGATCAGAAGAAAATAGTTAATAAGCATGTCTATCTAATGTTCATATCTGTCTTTCATCTAACTGGGCAGGAACTGATATCTATTACCTGCTATTTCTACTTACAGTAAGTCTTGACTCAGTTTGGTACCTTCCTGGATCTCCATATACCTTAGTCCAGACATCTGTCTATAGTCCAGTTACAGGAAATGATCAAGGCCTCCCGTGGAGCCCTTGACCAATCCAGCCCCCAGGCCTGACTGTTACTTAACCAGTCCACCGTCTCTCCTCTCCTAAGTCCCTACATGTCATTCAGTCAGGCGTAGTCAGGGCCATGAACCACCAACTCCAGGACGGCTGGACCACAGGAGACAGGAACTAACTGTCATCCAATTTTCCATTTCCACTCTGAATGAATTTTCCCTTTTCTACCTTCTGTCATTTGTAGGCCCTCTAATAATGTTTTTTTTTTTTCTTACTGTTCAGCCTCTGCATTATAAGACTTCTTTCAGACTTCATCCCAAGATGCATGCATGCATTCACCACCAAAGAACTGTTACCACTGCCTTCTCCCAGACCGGATAACATCGCTGCCTTCTACCCCTAATGTTGACACCCCTTGCCAGAAGGAAGTAGCCAGAGAGAATCAGCACCCCTGTATAAGTATCAAAAGGTTGGAATGATGTCTGCGGGGGAGGGGGGGAAGAGGCACAGGGAAAAATGACCCCTTCCCTTTCTCTCCATGTTAAACCGTATGTAGACCCCTGCACGGCACATGGACCTTCCTAGAAGTCCCTGAGCAGCACCTGTGATTCAGGTAACTGGCACACCTGGGAGTAGTGGGCGGTCCCCCCCAGCTCTGAGGCCACTGCCGTATCTGCTGTGGCCATACTTCCTCCTCACTCTTCCCTATATAACTCTCTTCCCATCATAAGTTATCACTGGGCACACCAACATCTTGTGCAGGCTGGCAGTTTGGTTCTCCTAATAAACTCTTCTGCCTGGACTCTTCTGCCTGCACGTGGAGATCTTTCAGCAACCCTTACACCTAGTGGGGAATTTTGGGGAGGGGATGGTATGTACCAAGGGAGGCTATGAGGCTGGGGTAAGGGCTTTGGAATGGGTATCTGTCACCCTCCTGGCCTGTGGCCTTCTCAGGAGCCTCTGTCCCTGGGAATGGCAGCCCTGTCTACCTTTGCTTGGCTCAGAATGTGAACTCCATCTTGCCCTACCCCTAGCTCATCCCAGCATGGAATGCAGCACCAATCCTTGGAAAAAATATTCACAAGTCGACCTGCTTATTTCCATCCAGAAGCAAGCATTTTCAACTTCTAGTTCTTCAATAAAGTGTTAGAAATGGCTCAGGATGTTGGGTATAGGAATGAGGACACCACTCCCCCACGGTATAACCCCTGTTTTCATTGTATTTGATGTTGGTATAATTTGTGGAGGGGAAGGGAAAAAACATTGTTTAAATAGGGATACAGGTGGACCCATTGCAACAATGATATGTCCAAGATGTTATGTCGAAAAAACGAACTTTACA